ATGTCAAATCATAGATATAGGTATGTACTGCTGTATGACTACACATTCATTCAAAGGCAACAATAAATATTGAGCAGTAGACTGAATCTATTTCAATGTTGACTGATGGTGCATCTCAACTGCCCTGTTTGCATATTTTGTTTCTGGCATTTCTTTTTTGTGTACCTGTTGGTTTGGTAAAGAAGATTATTGAAGTTTGCGTGCATAGTTTTGGCTAGGATTTTGGGTCACACTTAGCCAAATTTGAGACTAAATATAAACAATAAATGTATTTAATTTTGGGTCCATGTAATCAATGAAGAGCATGAGTAAGAAGGAAAGACACGATACAAGGTAAGAAGCACATACAGAAGTTTCAATTTTTTTTATAAGAAAGTAACTTCTAAGTGTTGGGGATTCGAAACAATCAATCGAACCCTTACCCTTCCCGGACCCTGTGTTGAAAGTATGAAAGTATGAATAAAACCACAAATAAAGATCTAACTTGCAAAAAACAGTAAAGGAGATGAACACACAGATTTAACGAGGTTCGGCAACGTGCCTACGTCCTCGGGAGCCACACCACACAATCTCTTTATTAATTGAAGAAAAAAATACAAGCTCTCAAACAAGGGATTAATCTCTCTGAAATTCTCTCTCTTTGCAGTCAAAAAACTCTCTTTTTGATGTTGTTCAAACCCTAAAATCGTTTGGGGTATATATAGAATCCTGGTTGAAACAGAATCTCAAAAGGAACAGGAAACTGTCAAAAATACTCGTGGTCGACCGGCCCGGTCGACCGATCAGATTCCAGAGAGTTTGGCGGTCGACCGGCGCGGTCGACCGCAATCAAAACCCGAGACCAGATTTTCCTACAGGGTTTTGGCGGTCGACCGGGTCGGTCAACCGCGACCTGATCCAGGCTCTGTGCGCGGTCACCGCCCCGGTCGACCGCAGATCTGTCTGCGTGTTTTTCTGATCTTTTTGATTCCAACTCTTGTCTCGAACTTTGGGTCTACACCTTAGACTAACAATCTCCCACTTGGAGACCAAAGTGCCTGCAATAAGTTCCCCCGAACTCTCCTCTTCTTCGCATGTATCTTTTCCCCGAAAAAAATTCTTCTTTCAATCAACAATATCCCGGCGATCTCGCCGATCCTCGTAGTGTGGCTCCGCCTTCGTCTTCTACTCGTGAAGGCCAACTGAAGTTGCGCACAACTCCAGTTTCTCAATGGTGACTGCCTTCGTCAACATGTCTGCCGGATTTTGACTCCCCAAAATCTTCATTAAATGCAACTTTTCATCCTCGATCAGCGAGCGTATAAAATGGTATTTGACGTCGATTAGCTTCGTTCTAGCATGATATACTGGATTTTTGGCAAGATGTATAACGCTCTGGCTATCACAATAAAGAACTCCTCTCCCTTGCTTCAGATCCAACTCTTCCAAGCACACGTTCAACCAGATCATCTCCTTGCTTGCTTCAGTCACCACGACATACTCAGCCTCGGTTGTTGATAAAGTCATAATCTTCTGCAGACGTAAGACCCAGCTCACTACTGTCGACGCTAGGGTATAAACATACCCCGTGGTGCTTCGCCTCGTATCATGATCACCGGCGAAGTTCGCATCCACGTATCCTTGCAGTATCAATTCCTTCCTCCTGAAACATAGTGGTTTGTTTGTTGTCCCTCTCAAGTACCGCATTATCCACTTCACGGCTTCAACTGACTTCCAAGGGGTGTGCTAACAACTTTAGCATTCTGCATGTTGAACCTCTGAAGTACCTTCTCAATGTATTCAGCTTGGCTCAAACTCAATGTCCCTTCAGCTTCATCCCTACTGATTCGCATCCCTAGAATCTGCTTCGCTGCACCCAGATCCTTCATTGCAAATTCCTTTGCTAGCTGCCTCTTCAAACTGTTTATCTCTTCTAAACACGGTCCTGCTACCAACATGTCATCAACATATAATAACAAAATAATGAAGCTGGACTCGAACCTTTTGAAATAACAGCAATGATCCGAATTGCATCTTCTGTAGCCATTGTTCTGCATGAAGTTATCAAACTTCTTATACCACTGTCTCGGAGCCTGTTTCAAACCATATAAGCTCTTCTTGAGCTTGCACACCATCTCTTCCTTTCCTTCTTCAATGAAGCCAACAGGCTGCTTCATGTAGATTTCTTCATCCAAGTCACCATGAAGAAAGGCAGTCTTCACATCTAACTGCTCAAGGAAGAGGTCTTCTGCAGCTACCAAACTCAACACCACTCTGATGGTTGTGAGTTTCACAACAGGGGAAAATATCTCCGTGTAGTCCACTCCTTCCCGCTGTTGAAACCCTTTCACTACTAATCTGGCCTTGAATCTCTTGCTTCCATCACTCTCCTGCTTGACCCGGTAGACCCATTTATTGTGCAAGGCTTTCTTCTGCGCAGGTAGCTGGGCTAACTCCCATGTCTCATTAGTGAGTAGAGAATCCATCTCCTCCTGCATCGTATGCTCCCACTGCTGAGATTCACTCACTTGCACTGCCTCTTCATAACACTCCGGCTCTCCGCTATCTGTTAAGAGTAGATAATCAAGTGACGAGAGGTATTTGGGATTTGGTTTGGGTACCCTAGATGACCTCCTAAGCTCCACGCCCTGGGTAGTAGCTTCTGCACCTGTAGTCTCCTCCGTTCTACGGTCAGAACTGACATCGTCGCCCCCATCTGGAAGTTCCTCCAAATCCATGTACTCGGATCCACCTGTATCCGTAGTGCTACTCCCACTGCTTTGGCTATCCTTGACATTGTTCCTGTCCTTGTACATCACCTCATCATTGAATATCACATTCCGGCTCCTGATGATCTTCCTGTTCTTTTCATCCCAAAGGCGATACCCGAACTCATCAATACCGTATCCAATGAATGTGCACTTCTGTAACTTAGCTTCTAGCTTGTCCCTGACATGGTCATTGATATGAACATAAGCCACGCAACCAAATACCCGCAAGTGTGAGAGATTTATCTTTTTTCCACTCCAAACCTCCTCTGGAATCCCAAAATCTAATGGAACTGATGCCCGTGATTAATCAGGTAGGCTGTCGTATGCACCGCATCCGCCCAAAATGTCTTAGGCAGACCTGCATGTAATCGCATGCTCCGCGCACGCTCTGTCAAGGTCCTGTTCATCCTCTCTGCAATGCCGTTCTGCTGCGGTGTCCCTGGAGTAGTCCTCTCTAAGCGAATCTCATTCGTAGCACAGAACCTCTTGAACTCCTCTAGCTCGTATTCTCCACCATTATCTGATCTCAAGCACTTCACCTTTAGATCTGTCTCGTTCTCGACCATGGCCTTCCACTTCTTGAAGATTTCGAACACCTCTGACTTGTGCTTCATGAAGTAAACCCACACCTTCCTCGAGTGATCGTCGATAAAGGTGACGTAGTATCTCAAACCGCCAAAAGAAGACACACTGGCTGGGCCCCATACATCTGTATGAATCAACTCTAGCTTCTGAGCCTTAGGTGGCCTTCCACCCTTCTGGAAACTAACCCTCTTCTGCTTCCCAAAGATGCAGTCTTCACAAACCCCGACTTCCACGGTGTCGATCCCGGTTAGCTTTCCTTGTGAATGTAGAATTTTCATCTCCTTCTCACTCATGTGTCCCAACCTATTGTGCCACAGATCTGTACTCTCATTGCCAGCTGCAATTGCGAGGGTGTCACTCGCATGTGAAGTGAGGTAGAGAGTTCCTGTTTTATTGCCTCGGCCAACAACCATAGTACCGTTGGAGATTCTCCACGAATCCCCGGTGAATGTCGAAACGTAGCCTTTTGCTCCAAGCTGTCCCACCGAAACAAGATTCCTCTTCAGCTTCGGCACGTGTCTCACGTTCTTCAAATTCCACTTAGAGCCCTTTATCTGTATCTGAACGTCGCCCTTTCCAACAATATTACGAGGTTCATTATCCCCCAAATATACTTTACCAAAGTCCCTTGCTACATAGTTCTGAAGTAGTTTCCTATTAGCAGTGGCGTGGAAAGAAGCTCCTGAGTCGATGACCCAAGAATCAGAATCGCTATCCATAGCAAGGATCAAGGCATCCTACACGATATGAGCCTCTTGCTCACCCGTATCCTTCTTTAGTGCTTTACAGACCGAAGACATATAACCCTCATGGCCGCAATTCTAACACTTCCCTTTGATGGACCTAACCTTCGAGTTCGGCCTCTTCTTCACTGATTTCGACCGATTCTTGTTCTGGTTCCCTTTCTTCTGGCTTCTGCCTCTCTGCTCGAAACTTAGGGCTGAACCTGAACCTTCTGATTCGGATGATTTCCTTCTAACCTCCTCGGATAGAATCATGCTAACAACCTCATTCAGCTTCAACTTCTCTTTCCCCGCCGAATTGCTGATTGCCGTCACACAACCTGCCCAACTATCCGGCAACTGCGATAGTAGTAGAAGGGCCTACACTTCGTCATCGAACGTGATGTCCACGGAGATAATTTGATCAACAATCGTGTTGAACTCGCTAAGGTGCATCGTGAAGGATCGTCCTTCTGCTATCTTGAGGTTGAAAAGAGTTTTGACTAGATGCACCTTGTTTGCTGCCGACAGTTGTTCGTACATCTTCGCGAGCGCTTCCATAAGCCCCACCGTCGTCTTCTCCTTTAGAATATTGTGGGCTACTGATTTGGCGAGCGACAACCGGATTTGCCCTAGAGCCTTCCTATCCAATACCTCCCAATCACCATCTGACTCCTCTTTCTTCTTTCCATTTTTCTTGCCCATCAACAGGCGATACAAGCCCTTCTGGTACAGATAGTCCTCCATCTGTGACTTCCAGTAGGCGAAGTCTGAACCGTCAAACTTCTCGATCTTTGATTTGCTTTCCTCTGCCATGGCTTTCACACAAATTGCTGAACGAAGCTCTGATACCAGTTGTTGGGGATTCGAAACAATCAATCGAACCCT